GAGATTTGAAAAGGGAGGAAAAAAAAGTTCGGCAAAAGGCGTGATCGAACCCGGGACTAGCGCTTATCAAAAGAAGTCGTGGCCTAATGGTTAGAGAGTCGGACTCATAACCCAAAGGTTGCGGGTTCGAGTCTCGTACCGGCAGGGATTGTAGGTGGGGGGAGTGAATGTACAGCGCTCTCTTCCACCTTCAATACCATGACTGAGGTGCCCTTGAGCAAGGCACTGAACCCCCAACTGCTCCCTGGGCGCCGCAGCAAAAAATGGCTGCCCACTGCTCCGGGTGTGTGTTCACGGTGTGTGTGTGTGTGTTCACTACTGTGTGTGTGCACTTTGGATGGGATAAATGCAGAGCACTAATTCCAAGTATGGGTCGCCACATTTCACTTCACAGTTTTTTTTTTATCCATCTGTGCCACTGGACCTGATGTTTTACAGCCACTTTTAACTAAATGTAAATAGACACCCCGTATTTTTTATTCCATAGTAAGGACAATTCATACAATACATTTAAACTGAGCTACTTTAATACCATCTCCGAACTTTCTACCACGACTCTGCTGTTCTTCGGCTGGTTCTTCCCTGTATACGTTGATTGACAGATGTCTCGTCCAGTCAGCGGTGAGTAATCCCAAACCAATGGCGCTGTCTCAAACTATACCTACCTCTTCCGGTTTGTCTGATTTTGTTTTCGAATTTGTGATTGTGTTTTCTGACTTGTTATAATGTTTTCTGAATTGTTATTGTGTTTTCTGAATTGTTATTTTGTTTTTTAGACTTGCATTTGTGTTTGTAATTTGTTATTTTGTTTTCAGAATTGTGATTTGTTTTGCACTTCACGATCACCGTAATAGTGGCTAGATGGCGCCATAGTCTGACATGCCAGCACAATGTTGTTTATGTAGGAGTGGTCCAGAAAATAGACCAACACTAAATGCATGTTAAATACTGATTTGTTTGGAGAGTTTAAACTTTAAAGTAGGCTGTTATGTAAGTTGTTTGGAGAGTTTAAAATAAACGTAAACCGTTTAAAGTAAATGTTACTTAAATTACAGTAATTTCAGCTGCAATATGTTAATGGTTAGTTATACTGATTATTATGGAAGCCCGTTTCCACCATAAAAATAATAAAAATAGTTAATTGCAGCTTTTTATCTCACAATTCTGACTTTTTTTTCTCGCAATTCTGACTTTTTTTCCTCGCAATTCTGACTTTTTTCCTCGCAATTCTGACTTTTTTCTCGCAATTCTGACTTTTGTTCTCGCAATTCTGACTTTTTTCCTCGCAATTCTGACTTTTTTCCTCGCAATTCTGACTTTTTTCCTCACAATTCTGACTTTTTTTTCTCGCAATTCTGACTTTATTTCTCAGAATTGTGAGATATAAACTCGCAATTGCGAGTTATAAAGTCAGAATTGTGAGATATATCACGCAATTCTGACAGTTTATATCTCACAATTCTGAGAAAAAAAGTCAGAATTGCAAGGAAAAAAAGTCAGAATTACGAGAAAAAAAGTCAGAATTGCAGTTTTTATCTCGCAATTGTGACTTTATCTTGCAATTCTGACTTTATAGCTCGCAATTGTGAGTTTATATCACACAATTCTGAGAAAAAAAGTCAGAATTTTGAGATAAAAAGTTGCAATTACCCTTTTTTATTTTTTATTCAGTGGAAATGGGCTTCCATAGATTATATATTCCTGAGGCACCATTTTATTTAATCAGATGCTGCCACACTAAATCCTCTCGATGGCATCTTCCGATGGGGCCTTAAATGCGTTTTTATGTAGCCTACTCAAGGAATGTAAATCAATATTTCAAGTGCCGCAAAATGTTCTTATTAATGTGTTTACTGCAAGAGAGACACTGACAGTCTTAAGCACCTGCAAGAATATGTGGGCCCATTTTGTAGGTTCCTCTAGGAACAGGCATTTTAGAAATATGCCTAGAGGTTCTCCAGAGAGTTTCACAAATCTATCAGCAGTTTGATGTGCAAAAAAAAAGACAACCCATAATTAGCACCTGCACAGAAACTACTTTTTCTTTGTTAATATGCACTGTGCATATTGGCACAACACTCTGCAAAATGAAGTTGGGCACTCAAAGATTAACTGTTTGGCAGAACGTCAAGTCAGAGCGCCTGAAGAGATGAAACTGGGCAATCAGAGGCCTGATTCATCTCCAGAGCATTAGATGAAACGATGACTGGCTGAAACATCACAGAGATGTGATTAATTATCTACAGGCATGAGTGCGGCGTAACTGGATATTAACTGATCCTGTAATAAACAGATATTCACATCTGTCAATCACTCCCTTCAATAGTGCCATATACATTTTAAGATAAGCATTTGTCTGTCCATCCATCCAATGTATCTTAAACAATGATTATTTCTCTGTATATCAGTTTTAGGGAAAGTTACTTTTAAAAGTAATGCATTACAATATTGCGTTACTCCATGAAAAGGTAACTAATTGTGTTACTTTCTATGGAAAGTAATGCATTAT